CTCGTGTACACACCAACTCCAAAACCTATGAAAGTATAATATGGATTTTCATTTGGACATTAAAAGAAAATGTATAATTTCAATTGAACAAGACAATCATATCAAAGCATGAGGGATTAAGGAAGACCCATGTCCAACAGTAGGCAGATATAGGCTTATGTTGACAATCATTTAGTTTAAGAAAATGTACAAAGTAATAAAAAATGTACCTTGATGCATTGTTCAGCAAGATCTTTGCTTGTGCGATTATTTGGATCGACTGTCAGTAGTCTATTGCATATCGCTTTGATAGCACCTTCTATAGCTACAATGCGTCTTGTGCATTCAGCTGCAATAATTACAAAAATAATCTTAGTACGTCACTTTTAGTTAAGAATATTTTAAAATCTTATGTTCAACATACCAGAAACATCCAGATAGTAAGTGATAGCTCTCGCTGTTACTTCTAGAACATTATCTGGTGCACATTCATCTAGAAATATTTTACAAAGTGCTGGGAGAAATGTTCGAGGAGGACAGCTGCAACAACAAGAAAAATACCTTAAATGCTAATTGAGTTGTAAATGTATATCATAATATTAATGGTTTTAATAACAATTGATATCTTTTAAAAATCATGGCAAATGGTTCTTCAAGTGTCACAATGTAGAATCCAAAGGTTATATGTTAATTTGACTATTACAAACAATGATTTGAAATTGAACAAATTACTTATTTTATAGCTTTATAAAATTTTTTTTAAGTTAATCTCTTACAAAATTATAAAAGGGTTGTTTTCAATTATATATTTGGAAAATAATAAAAAAAAAATCTACCTTTCAAAGCATCTGTCAACATTATCTGACATAAGCAAGAGCATACATAGTTGTTCTAATGCAATTAGTTGCATATCCCTTTCATCACCTTGGCCCGTCAGCAGCCATTCCAGTAATGTTTCTGGATCCACTTCCGCCATCTTAAAAAATTATTAACATAAAATGTAAAATGTATTATTTAACTAGGACTCGAATTTTATTTCTCCTTATACTTTAAACTAAATAGTCCATTGTCATTTGTTGCATAATCAGTAACATTATAAAATCAAATGATATGTAATGTTAAAAAATGTTAAACTATGTACATAAGCATTAAACAGATATTCAATATAAAACCATTTCAGATGTGTAACAATAATATAAATTGTGCAATGTTTGAATTATGAAAATATTGGCGATATGTTATTGAATATTACTTTTATTATGTACGCAATAAACATTAAAAACTCATAGAACAAATTATATAAACAAATCAATTTATAATAACAAGTATTAAAGTAAATAATATAGTAAAACTCCTGTCTTTTCAGTTGTACTTCATTACATCATATTGATTTGTTACCTTCAATGTTTATTCCACTCAAACATGGAACCAGATTTATAAACTAGGTATTTATAGTTATGAATCTTACCTTCTTTCAATTTCGAATTTGCAAATTGCCTGAAATAAAAATTATATTACAAAACTTCAAAAAACATATTATTTTACATCATATTTGAAAACTTGCAGACATACTAAATTAAATCAAATGAAATGAGAATTGGCATAAAAATAGACTAGAATGAAGAAATTGTTGGATGTACTATGCTGGTATTAAAAGGTATACTTAGGTACATTGTTATGGACAACAATTTTTATTTGTTATCTTTTTAAGAATGTCATGTTTTAATCATAAACATTAGATGAACAATTACTTTACACATAAGTTATAATTATTATTTTAAATGAGAATTATTTCGGTAAAAATATATTGGTACAGGTAATATATAAAATAATGCGCACAATAGAATTTTCAGATAAAATCTAGGTTACAACAATAGCGAATGATGCACCTTTCTCTTTTGCGACATAAATATACATGTTATATGTAGTTACAGTAAAAGTTTTATTAATTACATTATTAAAGGCATATAAAACATATGTTATTTACTCTCTAAGAGGTATAAAAACATTTACGAATTTAATAGTGAAATACAAAAACGAAGGTGTCAACAATGTCTCCGCAGACTTACAATCAATTAACCATAACGACTATGGCCTTAAAAATCCTTTTCAACAACACTGTTTTCACAAAATATGAAATAGACCTCAAAAGAAAAGAGACGAATCATTTGTGTAGAAAAGAATTTCAGAGTACACAATTATTTTCCTTCGTATAATTCCAGCGATCAAAGCAACCAAAACCAATATGAAGGACAAGAAAAGAGAAGACAAAGAGTACGTAAATAAGAGTAGAAAAGGAACGAGTCTGTCGACACTGATCTCTAAACATAGATAGGTTATAAGCCACAATATTTTGTGCCACCTATGATTTTCGCCATTTTGGTGTTCACGGCAGTGTTTGGTAGCGGTTAGAAAGTAAAAAGTAGTAAAAAAGGATAGAACTAATTGTCAGTAACATTAACAAACGCAAATTAAAGTTACGTGTACGTGTAACGAAGCGGAGCACCGTCCTATCCATTTTAGGAATCTGTGGTCGATGGTCCACTGGTCAAAGAGTAAATATACTAAATATTATTATAACATATTACCAAACTAACCTTCGTGAAGTTAGCCCCCTCACTTTCTTTTTTTTACTTTTTCTTATGCAAATCGTTTGAGAATCGTTAGAGAGGGTTTGAGAGAAAGCTATTTTCGTTTGAGAGTTCCTACTTTCTCCGTAAAAGCAATTTCAATTTTTAGCGTGAAGTTGGCCCTCACACATAATTTTTTTTTACTGTTTTTTATCGTCAAATCGCTAGAGAATCGTTAGAGAGAAATTGAGAGAAGAAGAAAATCGTTTGAGAGTTCCTACTTTTTCTGTAAAAAATTTTTGGAATTTTGAAATCGGTAACATTCGAATCGATTTTACTTTTCTCCGAATTAAAAATGAAAGTCATTGACTTAGAAGGATCATTATTTTTCATCGGTAGAGAATCGTCTCAGAATGATTGAGAGAAGAAAAGAATCGTTTGAGAGTTCTTAGTTTTTCTGGAAAAAAATTGAATCGTCTTACGGCCGGTCTCAATAACGCATCCTGGATCGGGAGATCGCTTCAATCGAGAAATAAAACGACCTGCTGGTTGATCACTAACCGGTGT